TAGCTAATTCAGAAAACATACAAACATGCCTTATCCGAGTAGTTAAAGTTCCATGTTACTAATATAAATGTATGGATTTTATCATCTATTGCTAGGAGTTTTTACTGGGCTTCCTAATGAAGAGTGTTATTTAGGTTTTCACACTTGTTCATGAAACGGCCTTGTTCAGGAAACAAATGCTTCGTTGTTGAAAGCCATTTTATACTAAGTTCTACAAAACTAACATTTTATTTTTCAGGAGAGTGATTTACGATAGTAAAGGAAAGGGTAACTTTTGGAATCTAATTGAAGAAGAATTATTGGTAAGTTGAAGTAAAATAAATAGTTAAAATAATGAAATCTGAAATCATTATTGGATATTTCAGACGACTGAGTTCGGTAACACAATTACCATCACAGTTTAGTTACCAGAGTCAATATAGATCAAACTGAAACTGTTGTCACTATCCTTGATAGTGGTAACTGTGTTGATGGAACTTTTGGACTGCTGAACTATCTAATAATGATTTTCTCTTTCGTTGTGCCAAAAAACATCGTTTTCGTTGTTTACTCTTAAAATAGTAGTTCAATGTAAATAATTTAAAGATACATTTGTGTAAAACATCTATGTACAATTAAAAGAAATAGAATGTTAAAAATCTTACACAATAAATAGTTATTAAAAACAGGAACTTGCCCTAAAATAACTATTCATATGTTTCGGTGTCTATGACTCCTGAAGATAGTATTGTTACTACAGCGGAAATCACGTGACCCTGGTAAAACGTCACTATCGCTGAAGTTCCTCGTGAAGAATTTTTACGGAAATTATCAAATAAGCAGATATGTAACAAACTGGTGTCAGAGAGAGGGATGAAAGAAAAAGAAGATGGAAACGATTTGTGACAAATCAAACTAGGACTCAGCAGATTTTATGGTAGCAATAGAAGAACAGCAAATGAAACAAGAAGAACTAGAAAATAAACAAGAAGACAGATTACAGCAGATGTTGGAGGAGAAAGAAAATAAACAAAAAGAGAGACTACAGCAGTGGTTGGAGGAGAGAGAAAATAAACAAGAAGAAAGACTACAGCAGTAGTTGGGTGAAAAAGAAAATAAACAAGAGGAGAGACTACAGCAGTGGCATGAAAACCAGTACCAGTGGCAACTAGAACAAGAAATGAAACAAGAAGAACGAGAAAAGAAACAGGAAGGAAGTATCCAACACTTGAGAGAAAGCCAGCTCCCACAAATGGAAAAGATTAGTAAATTTCAAAGCGAATTAAATACATTAGAGGACGATTTACTGTCGTTTACACAGGTAGGCTATACTAATCAGCTCCAGAGAATAGGAAGCCCCTTACAGACCCCTCAGCTAAACCCTAATACAGACATCTTCAGTCCTGTCAGAAGTCACCTTCCAATATATGAGTATCAGCAATATGGGTCATCTAGTACGAAGGAAGCCACAGGAATTCGATGGGAAGGCACCATGGGAAGCATATATAGCACAATTCGAGATCCTGTCAGAAATGAATTGATGGACAGAGAAGAACATGAAGCTATTGGATACACTCCAGCAAAGCTGATGTTTGGTCGCGAACTTCGGTTGCCAGTGGATCTGTTAACAGGACGCCCACCTTAAGAAGAGTTGCCTGAAAATGTGACAGAGTTTGTGAAAGTGTTATTGGAAAGTGCGTTCAAACTTGAAAACGTCTCTTATGATAAGAGATCTACTGAAGTCAGCTTTGTACCAGGAGACAAGGTGTGGTTGTATAACCCCAGGAAGACAAAAGGAAGTCTCCTAAGTTGTCTCCTCCATGGGAAGGCCCATATGACATAGTGGATCGTCTCTCAGACTTGACTTTCCGAATAAAATGTGGTCGGCGAGGTAAGCCAAAGGTGGTACATGCCAACAGGCTTTGGCGTTATCATAGTACAGGACAGTTCAGTTGGGATGACGTGAACAACGGAACAAAAGACGCCACTGAAGACGTGTCACCTGGAAAAGCCACTGTCGAAGAAAAACTCTACTCGGTTTTGAGAAGGGAAACAGTGAAGCCCTTCATGAAGTTACTAGCACTGATGTGATTATTACTCATAATAGGACATTTCCTGATGGAGCTGGTGAACTCTACGTGAAGCAAAAGCCAACGAGATGGAGACCAGTACGAAACAAGATACGTCCCGTAAAATTAAGAGACTTTGTTGAATTAAGTGACAGCAACAACTGAATTGCAGACAGAGAGATATGGAGACAGATAATCGAGTTAAGCCGTAAGTAAAATGCGTGAAACGTTGTGAATTCTAGCGTGTGTTTAAAGTGGGAATTAAGTGTACTGCAAAGTTGAATTGAGAAAGAATAATCTAGTTTTATTTAAGAAAGGACTTGTATCGCTGATGTTCGTCGGAAAGAATTTCTACGGAAAATTAACAACCGAACACAAATTCGTAACAGCTACAACAATCTGATGCCTTAAAGGTTTAAAGTTATAGCTCCTATAAAATGAGCAGTAAATGTGTTTTATTGTTAGTTGAACGTGCTTTTCACAGAAACTGTTTCTATCAGAGAAATTATAATTAAATAAAGTTAATCAAAAATGTTATAATGAATTAGGAAACCTCTTTAAAGTTGGAAGAACGTTAGGTCAAAGCCAGACAAACGTGATTTTTATTTAAGGAAGCTTTATAAACGATAGAAATATCTCAACCAGGGAAGTTTAATACCAGTAAATGTTATCTGTGGTTTAAAATAATGTGTTGCGAGCCATCCTGAAACAATGAGCGCAAGTACCAATTCTCTATTCCTTGGGTAGTTGACCAATATTATATCAAAGGATAATTTTAAAAATACTACATTTATCTCATCTTATATAGTAATTTCAATATTCGAAATATTGAAATATGTTTCTGAACTTTTATTTTAAGTATTTATAACGAACTTATAATAGCTCCAATTGTAAACATTAATTAATCCGATATCAGTCTTTCCTTAAGTATCAATGAGGCTCATATGGAATTAGGTAACTAACAAAACTATTACTTAATCTAACACCAAACCTAAATATTTATTCCAGGACAAAGACGTTCGAGACTGGGTCGATGAGTTAAATAAGACCATGAACTGGACATTTTCCAAGGAATATATTCAGTGAGATCTTTTATACGTAATTTAATTTAGAATTTGAATAACTCAGAATATTTTAATGTATATAACTTGTATTGTTCATTATGAGGCTATCATTTAATTATTTTCAGCGACATAATCTTTATTTTCGCTTTTGAGATATATATTCGATACTTACAGCGATATGTTGTGTATATTTGGTAGCTAATTAAACTACAGTTGATACTCACTTTAAGAACGTTTCACTACAACCTGATGTTCAGGTCAATGAATATAACTAAGTTGTTTCTTCTTGAGATTGCAATGGTGTATTTTCATTAATATTGTTACGTCTCTGTGTTCGTTGTGTTACGACAGCGGAATTCACGTGACGCTGGTAACACGTAAGGTGTATCTAGGACGTTCGTGAAGGCTCGAGTGTTTACCAGACGCCCTCTATTTGGTATATATAAGACCGGCAAGAAGTGACGGCATATATAG